TTAGTTGCTGAAGGCTTCTGTGGTGAACATGGAGCAGAACTTTTAAGTGACAAAATTCTTCCCATTGAGGACCATTGCGCTGGGGAGATGCTCTGGACCAAATGCGTACAATATTTTCACGCTTACACTGTTTCTAACGACCATTTAAAAATTTATATTTCAAGTTGAGCTGAAAAAGTAAAAGATCTTCGAGCTCTTCGGGCTGATTCTAATATCTTTGTAAAGGTGATTGTACTGTTTGTCTAATCTCATTAATTGAAAAATCATTCTCGCTCCCAGTGCCATATAGCCATAATGGTGCATCTTTATTGAGGTTAAGAGATATAAACTGATGACTAGAATGGTAGAGTGGAATACCAAGAAGCAGATGGCAAGTTTCTTGTGCAGAAATATTACGCTCTGCAATGGTATGGAGAAGTAACTTCTGAAATGAGGCAAGAGATGAATCATCGGGTTTGCTATTATAAAGAATGCGGTTCAATATTTCTGAAAAAGCTTCAGATCGCAGTTCTGATTTACTTGCATATTTAAAAACATATTGAAGAGCAGCATGAATGCTAAGAATGGGTTTCAGATCGACATTCGCATACCAACCTTGAAGCTGAATTCGATCATGTGGATTTATATAAGAGTCATTCCTTGCTGTGATGAGTTCAGGATGACCATGATTATCATCACATATAAATGTATGTTTATGATTTTTTTGGATATTTAAACCTGCAAATTTGCTGACCCGTATGATTGATACGAAGACAGTATGAAGGACTACATCGAGTATGACGTTGTAATTTATTCACCAACTCAATATAATCTTGCGCATCATCGCATAGCTCATCATTATGCTTCTGACAGGGATGACAATCAGGCACAGGTGCATTAATCTCTGGATTTATTGTAGTAATTAAGGAATCTAGGTATTGTACTACTTTAGTCATTGTTTCATTATCCTCTTTCATTTTTTCCCAATCAATTACTGATGCGTCTCTCTGTTTTCTGATACCATGTATGTGAACACTACCACGGTGTTGCCACTCGAATCAGTACTACCAGTCCTCTAAATTCCACTTGTGAATTAAAATGTCTTCTAAGAAGAATTTGAAACGATTCTCAAAAAACCACGCGACAATGTGAGGATTATTAATCAGGTCTTGACGTCGGCGTTTAGCTGCATCCTGTTCTGACTCTCCTATTTGATTTTGATCATGTGACATAAGTTTGTGAAGTTTCGGCCAATATAAATCTGCAGCACTGAATGTAAAAAATATTATTCCTTGCGATCCTAATTGTTTAATCATATCTGACAATTCAACCTGTCATTTAATCCAAAATTGCCGAGTTTCACATAAGCTCTCACCAAACCGTATGACTTGATTGGCCAGGTGGCTATTCCTTTCAATCATCATCTGTACCTCTTTAACATTAAGCCGCTTACCGTTTAAACTTTGTTTAACATAGACTTTCCCTTCCTGCAATACTCTTCATCGCATTTGTGAATTTAGAGCAAAGTATCGCCAACGAGTATGTCACGCAAACCTTTCATCTTTGTATTTAAGCATATGTTAGAAATACTCGGCGGGCTTTATATCCCTTACATATTTTGCACGAAGGTCAGCATTTCCTTTTGGGTATAACGTTAGAAAGGCACGTGCAATATATCCAGGAGTATGAAATTCATTGACAGGATACCCCTCAATATTTGACCATGCAATCAGTGTAGTTCCAGCTTGTATTCGAGCAAGTGTATCATTAATGGCTTTTTCTTCATGATGAGATTGGGTAACAGGAACAAAATTACATATAATCATATTCTCAATTTCATTTCTGTCATCATTTAAGAGTTCATTTTCTGTGCTTTTAGCCTGTGGAAGATAGTTGTCAATGGGACCATTATCAGGTAATGATTGCAGTACTTCATTATCGATAACGATGTCGGCATAATAATGATTATTTGCTTTTAACCAGGAAAGCACCTAAGCAATCTTGTCATGACGAACATTGAAATCCCTAAATTCTGATCCACTTGCAGACTGTTAACGCACAACAAGTATATTTAATAATGACGGATGACGAGGAAGATGTGTTGTAAATTCATACACATCTTGAAGAAAGTTAATAACATTTTCTCTATATGAATACTGACTCCCGCGAAAACAATATACTGAGACTATAGGAAATATTTGTGCAATTAACATTTCTTCAATCTCGGTAAGGTCCTGGAGTTCCTCAGGTATGTCTCCTAGATCCATGTTATTTTTGGCAGAAAATCTTTTTGGAATAACCTTATCACTATAGCAATGCCGACATTCTCCCATAACTAATTTGATCGATGGAAAATGCTCGTTATATACAGGACAAAATTTATGCTCAAATTTATTTATCTTGGTTTAGAATTTTTGCAAAAGCCTACGATCAGATTTTGAGAGTGTTTGGATTTTGATAGGGATAGAGAGTGCCTCACTATTATCAAGCCTTTGCCGGTTTTCTTGATGGTTAAGGTGTTCATCAACAACTTCTAAGGTACATAATGCTCTTCATTAGCACTTCTGCTTATTTTCTTTATCCAAGCGTGCTTTATGTTGTTCCTTATTTTCTGCAGTCTTTCTTTTAACTTTATTATTATAATCACGAATGCGATGTTTTTCGCATTGTTCAAAAGTTTCGCTCTCTCTACTTTTGCGTTTTCTAAGTGTGTCACGTTCTAAATAATCTGACATTATTACCTCCTAAAAAAAAAAGCTTTACTAATTATTAATAAGAAATTTTGTAGTAATTAACCTCGTGGCATCAAGGGGAAGCACTTATATCAACGGGCCTATATATCTTACGTGATCTTATTAAACGCTTTTCGAAAGACGTGTCACAGATTTAATCTGATCATGAATAGGACGACCAAGTCCAAAGGGCAATTCTTTCCTATAGATAGATGAAATATATATAAGGATGTTAGGAATTCCTGCAGATAGATGTAATATATATAAGGTGTTAAATTTGGGTTCTATGATCAGCATTTTGTACAATCACAATTTTGAGGTCGGATGAATAACCGGACAACTTATTTATAAGGAAAACTCAATTATCTGTTTCTACAAAAAAAAAAATTTTTTTACCGTACACTTAAGCGAACGTCATTATTTCATGGCACAGAGACAAAACGATATTACTGAACTCCGACTACGTATGGAGAATGCGCTTTATAAAGCAAAAGGTTTCTTTGTTACAGGTGGTGATTTCGAAAATGCTATTATTAAGGTTTCGGTCCGTGGGTCTTTGGCACATATTAACAAAGGTTCTTTATGTCTAGTAAATAATTTTTTTTCTTTTTTTTTTTACATGTATATAATATATTTTTTTTTTAGACAATTATTTATTATTATGATAATGGATTGGATAGTGATGAGTTTAACACTTTATATGTGAGCCTATTTCAAACTTCACATTATTTTTATTTTTATAATGTAGCTGTGTTAATTATTATTATTATTATTATTATTATTATTATCATTATTATTATCATTATTATTGTGATTATGATAATTATTATAATTATCATTATAATTGTTATTATTATTATTATTTGGATTGAAATTTTTGGGTTGTGATTGTATGATACTGATGTAGTGATTGTGATTTTTTAATAAATTATTTTTATTAATAAATTATTTAATGAATTATTTTTATTAATGAATTATTTAAATAAATTATTATTTAATAAATTATTTTTATTAACAAATTATTTAATAAATTATTTTTATTAATTTAATTTGCTTCGGACATACAACAGATCCTGTTTTCCTAGTTTATTACTTGAATAACTTGAGTTTTATAATTAATTAATTACTCAAATAATTTGAATTTTGTAATTTATCTATTACTTGAATAACTTGAGTTTTATAATTAATCCATTATTCAAATAACTTGAATTTTGTAATCTATTTATTTATTTTCAAGTAGATTATAATTTGAATTAAGTGGTATAATTGAAATCTTAATAAATTCCAATTATGTCACTAAAATTTTTAAACTTAAATAGATCTTAATTTGAAATTTTCTTTTATTGCATTTTTAATAAACATCAATTTTATATTTTTAAGTTAGCGACTTATTTGTTATTTTGAAAATTATCATTAAAAAAGAAATTTTAACAAAACAGATGCAATTAAAAAAAAAAAGTTTTTTAAATCCAATGTTTTTAATTTTATATACGTGATTTTTTTTTGAATTATAAAGTTTAATTTTTATAATAATATAAACATTTTTTCAAAGTTTTTGAACATTTTTTTTTATATATTGTTAATTATATATTTATTAGTATCTTTATATTATTATCGGAATTGGTGGTCTGGTTACTGTTCCTCCTTATGCCGGCAAGTAGGGTCTCTTTCGCTGGCGATACCAAAGCCACTTGCTAATAAGCTTCCTTCCTTTATTAGCCCGATTCCCTAATTTTTCGCCGCAGGTCTCGCATGCGGTCTTACTAGATTCTCTTGGAATGGCTATTTACAAATAAGGCAAGTTTATTAATTATGCTGCAAGTACAAATGGATATCGGATACAATATTCAATCTCTCCTAACTAACTATTCTACTACTCTATTTATACTATCTGCTACGCGTCCATAAATCTACTGTCGCGTCATGCAAAACTCCGCAAACTATTTTAGCTAATCTGATGCATCGCGACCCATCACGTGACCTAAGCCGATCCGACCATTTTTCCTGCCAACAATATAATTTTTAAATTGACCGAATTAACGTGACCGAAAAAAAACGTTTAAATAGAAAAGCCGAAGCAACAACAATTTACAAACGTAAATTATGATCAATCACTCAAATATACTCCCGCCTCCGACTCTAACTTCTATTCCGATAGAACTCTACTCTTCAATCTTTTCTTACCTTCCGCTTCATGACCTACATTTTCACCTTGCAAACACATGTAAGCTCTTTCACACGCTCATACCTCAATATATTCTCTCCGCACTTCACAAAAATCTATCAAACCATCCAAGTCTTGTGAAATATAATTCCAAGGTGACGGTGGAAAAGAACAGATTGTTAATAACATTAGTAGCAAAGAAGGAGCCTTTCGAGGTTTATCCTTGGAGTATAAATATGGCATTGTGCAAAGAGGTAAATAAGGTAATAAGAAAGATTGTTAAGGTGGTGGAGCATAAGGAAAGAGGAATGAAGTTGACCTGGCTCAGTTGTTGAATAGTCATAAATAAAGGTTTCACGATAATAGTGCCTTCCTGGAACGTGTTTATTTTGAGTTTCATAACTTTAACATTTACATCTAATTCTTGAACAAAGTCTCAATAAACAAGTGATTTATTTAAGCTGCAAGTTTCTATTCTAGAATGAGCACGTGTGAATTTGAAACATATGTAGGATGCATACCACTATTTGTGAAATATCTAGACTTTTCCCTCTTTAACAAGTCTTTCCAAGACTACACTTAAAGCTTTACATAATCTCTCCACACCATCATCCACCTCTTCCTCGGTAATATTTAATGGTGGAATTAATCTTATTGTTTCATAAATACTTGTTGTCAAGATAATCATGTCTTGTTTTTCAAGAGATTCTTTTGCTACTGACGCAGCAAATCCGCTTGGTACACCAGTAAATTCTAGACCAATCATTAGTCCCATACCACGAATGTCTACATCGACTTTCGAAGGTAAAATAGGTTTAAGTTTTTTATCAAGTAAGGAATATATTTGAGATGATCTATTTGATGGTGAATCCGAATTAGATCGACGGTAAATCGTTCAACCATAAATTATAACCCGAACGACTAACCTGGCATTGATATTATCCAAGAGTTTTTCTTCTTCAAAGATTTCTAATGTCGCAATAGCCGCCGCACAAGATACTGCATTCCCAGAATAAGTTCCTCCCTAAGGTTGGTATATTTGAATTTAGGAAAATTTCAGACTTGCAGAATTCGAAATAAATATCCAAGACACAGACCATACTTCCGGGTAATTGTTTGTCCATCAATTCTTTCCTTGAAACTATTGCACTTAATGGAAACCCGCTTGCAATTCCTTTTGCCATAACCATTATGTCTGGTACGATTCCGTAATGTTCTACCGCAAACATTTTGCCCGTCCTACCGAAGCCACACTGAACTTCATCGAGAATAAGTAGGATGTCATTTTTATCACAAATTTCTTTTAATTTTGGAAAGAAACTCTTTGGTGGCTGGACGTAACCACCCTCTCCTAAAACTGTTTCTATTAATATTGCCGCCGTATCCTGCGGTGCGGTTTGTTGTTTCAATAATAATTCTATTTGATCAATTGGGTTGTTGCAACAATTGTTCAGGTGATATTTATCAGGAGCTGCCCGGTGTACCGGACATTTAAAACAATAAGGATATGGTGCAACATGGACTCCAGGCTGCTCCATTATTGTTAAAATACCATATTATTAAATTTAAGCTTACAGTAATAAACGACATGATACAATAATTACCATAAGTGGACCAAATCCGACTTTATAAACAGTTTTTGATGTGGTAAGGGACATCGTGCCAATGGTTCTTCCATGAAATGATCCTTGTTTTTCCAAAAGCCATTTGGACCATTAGTCTAATAATGTCTTAATACTTCCGAAATATCATTATTCTCTGACCTTCAAAAACAATTATATTCTGTTTTTTGGTCGCTTGTCTTGCCAATTTTATTGATGCCTCAACAGCTTCGGCACCAGAATTCCAAAAGAAAAATGTGTCGAGATTTGAAGCGGGCATGATCGGTTTCAATTTTTTGATGAGATCTAACATCGGCTTGTGAAACATAATATTGACCTAGGAGAGTAAAGCAATTTAAAAGTCTAAATTTCGTAATCGTGAAATAAAATAGACACATTCAATTGGCCTACCTGACCATGATTTAAATTGGCGGCTTGCTCTTGTACGGCCTTAACAACTTTTGGATGACAATGACCTTGAAAATTAAGCCGATGAGTCATATAATTTGATGTTGAATGTTATTGAAGGGGAAGTACATTAAGGTTTCTCACCCGTTGAAAGCACGCCTATGCCCGTCGATAAATCCAAATACTTTTTTCCTTCGACTGTCCAAACCCACGAACCTTTCGCCTTCTCAATTACCAAATTGGACATTCTAGATACTCCACGGTTAATATGGTGCGCCCCATATTCAGCAAGTTGCTTCACTGACATGGTGGTAGGGAAAAAAACCTGAGATTCTCATTGATACCACGTATATAATATAAATAGAAAGTGATCGACATTGTAAGGTTTTAATATATTCAATTTTGAATGTAAACAATGTACTGTATTTGGATAATCTACAAACTTGACGTGTTATATACGTAATACAGTATATGTATGCATATATAATATACAGTATAATATAAATATAAATTTAATTTATTATATTACATAGGATAAATGATTTTTAGGTAAAAAACAAAAATTATAAATATTGTTAGGGTAAAAAGAACAAGCTTATTATTATAGTTATTATTTTTTTTTTATCTTTTAAATTGTTTTTTTGTTTTTTATTTAAAATATACAAATATAAATAAAATATTTACAGTAAATAGATAAACATTATTTTTTATTTATTTGTATGTTGTATAATATGTATTTAAAAAATAAGCAATATTTTTTATATACAGTATATTTATAATAAATTAATATTAACTTTTTTATAACAATTATTTAATCTAAAAAAATTATAAATTTTATATATTGATAATATAAATATTTATTTATTTAATAATAATAATAATTAGAAATATATATACACTATATACATATATATATAATATATATTTATTATTTATTATTTTTTTTTATTATTTTAGCATATATTTAAATTTTTTTAAAAAATATTTAATAAGATTATAGATTAATTAATTATATCAAATATAAAAAAAGTAAACAAAAATCATATTTTTATATATACGTATGTTTTTAATTATACAATATCAAATCAATAATATGTTTAATTTTGAAATAGTTGAATAATTTTTTATTAAAAAAATATTCAATGAATAGTACATAAAATTAAAGTTATAAATAAATAAATAAATATGTAATTTTTTTGTTTGTTATTTTTCTTCTTCTTTTTATTATTAATTTTAAAAACAAATAATTAAAACTAAATTCAAGTTATATTTTAAAATAATTAAAAATAAGTTTTAAACCTATTAATTAATTGCATAAAAAATAAAACTTGTGAAATAATTTGTCAATAAAAAATAAGTTTAAAAAAAATTTTTTTTTGGAAATTTTTTTGATTATTTTAAATATACAGTATATCTGTTTTAATAAAAATGAAATAGTCTAACTGGTTACAAGTGAAAAAGATAAATGTGTTAGCAATTATAAGAAGTTTTGAACTTTATTTAAACTAGAAGAAAATTTTTTTAATAATAGTTGGAATAGATAATAACTCTTTAATTTATTTTTATTTTTATTTATTTTTATTTATTTTTATTTTTGTAATTTTTATAAAAGGAAATTTATGAAACATCATCTTTAATGAGCGTTAATTGCTTGATGAATTTATAATGAATTCGGAGGCAGCAACTTGATCAGGAAGCGAGATAATATTTGTATTCAGGAATCTAGATTTTCGAATAATTTTTCCGCTTAGATATATTGTCAATGGTCTCTCTCTTTCCACATGGACAATAGTGAGATATTATAACACGAAAAATTCCAAAATTGATAACAAGCAAAAAAGCAATATAAGGAGTTCTTACACGAATTAAATATAATATCTATCGGGGGAAAATAGTATCGCCGTTTGGACTTTAAAGTAACCTGTAAGTAGTTGAACCATTGATTCATTTACAGCCGTTTTCATCTCAACATGTTTCCATCTGAATGGTATATACTTACTCCTTCTTCCTAGATACTTATTATCTTCTACAAAATGAATCAAAAAACCTCATGAAAAGGAATTCAAATCATATGTTAGTAACGCTTTGCTCAAGCTGTACACTTTCAGTTGTTCCAAATTATAGCAAATAAACCTAATTTTGTCGTTAAATTAAGGGAAGAAAAAAAACACGCCTTCACGAGTTATTTGCATCAACTCTGTTCTTTTTTCACTCGAGGTTTGGCCATTGGCTGAAGAAACTTTGCCTATCTCATGTTATTTTGTTGCCTTTTTTGCAAGGATATTACCAAATTATTACATCCATTGGCATCAAGAAACCATTTGTTGCTCCAAGAATTCTTTTATGCGTGTTTGTTCTACACTGTCAATAAAGTAATTCACCGTAGAACATAAAAAGTATTTTAGTATGAATAATAAAATGATACTTTGCTTTAATCCGATAAAACAATAAGATATCCTTAAATACTGTATAATTTATTAAATGTATAATATACTGTATATCCGTATATATTATATAATTTTTTCAACTTAAAACGTAAATCGTGTGATTTAATTTTTCAAATGCAAGATTATAAAACATCATTAATTCTAAAGGTAATAAAACAAGGTAGATGAAGCATCAAACTAGT